TGTTTAAACATTTGTTCAACAACAAGTAAAAGCTTGGAATGGTCTATTCTTTCATTGAGGTGTGTGTCTGTGAGCCAGACTATTTTCAAAGAATTACACTTCTCATCAGTGACCCTGGACACTACCACCAATGAAATATCAGATCAAACCCAGCCTTTGCTCTCGCTTAAGCTCTTCTCCCTTCTGCAACACTTGGCATCTTGATCATCCTACATACTCCTCTAAATACCAGGGTAAGCCTACCCCCCAAGACTGATCCTGCTTCTGTTGCTCCAGTGCATACCACCGATGCCATTACCCCTTCGGCTAACTCCTTTGCTATGTCTCCTACCACGGAGGATATCATCCATTTTGTCACATTGATACTACAGAATATCCTCCCCCTCCAACGTACATTCATTTTAGATCATATTATCCATGCTGCCAAGACTGTCTTTCGCCTTCACATGCATACCATTTATTCTGGACTTAACTTTCACTTTCTATTTCGTCTATGGGATCCGGCAGAGACTACAAGTTGAAGTATTTATTTGTCAATATTCGCTCTCTCTTCATAACCTTGCCCCTCCTGGAGAACTTGTTGGATAGAGGCTTCTATGATTGTGTTCTCCTCAATAAAACTTTTCTGAAACCCAGTCAAAGGATCCATCTGTCAGGGTACACTCTTCATCGCTATGATCATCCTTTGGGTCAGGCCTGAGGAAGTGTGGCAATTGCTACTCGTACTCGCCTTCCTGTGCGCCTACATTCCCTTCTGCAGTCCACTTACCCTGAATATTTGGTAGCCACTGCTTACTTCCCATCTCGTATCATCACTATTGCAACAATCTACATTCATCCCGGATTTCCTTTGCCCAACGCCTTTCTCTCCTTTCTGGACCACTCTTTTCACAGCTATATTCTTCTTGCTGATGTCAACTACCACAGTAGAACCTCTGCTATACTTGCCTCTTTTCAGTCCTCCTTATGTTCCATTTCTGGTTCTTTGCTATCCCCGCCAGCCCTAGTCATCAACTTTCTCATTCGTCACCTGATATTGTCTTTGTTTCTTCCAACCTGGTTCGTTTTATCACTCTCCGGATGTGTCCTCCTGTTGGTGTCCTCCCATAGAACTTTGTGTCCATTCATAGTCCTTGTCTGTTCCTCGTGCTTCCCGCCGGACTCATTTAAATTTTCGTTCTGCTGACTGGCAGTCTTATGCTTCACACATTACTAATGCCATACCAGATATGGATCGACCTCTTACTACAGCAGAAGATGTTGACTCATTTGCCACCTTACTCACCACTCTTCTCTCTGATGCTAGTGCTTTACACATACCGACTTCTTCAACTCCCCATAAACCAGCCTTACCTCATAGAGCTGTAGATCTGTTACAACTGTCTTCCACTTTATTGCATGAATACCATTGGTCTCATGATCCTTTGTTGCTGCAAAGATCCTGGGGTCTTCAACATACTGCCCATAATTTTGTTCAGGCAATCCGATGTCAGCGGTGGCATCAGGCCTGTAACAAACTCGGTCATTCCTCTTCTTCCTCACAATTCTGGAACCGTTTTAAGCTCCTCACAATTCAATGATGTTCTCCCTCCTATCCTATATTTGTTAATTGTGCTGCACCTTTTACATCTTTGGACAAGGCCGACCATTTTGCTGCTTTTCATGAACAGAACTTTCAGGTACTGGAACATCATACTCTTGACTACAGTGACACTACAACCATCGTGAACTCAACCGTTGCCTCCCTCGTTTGCATTACTCCTAGTTCTTCCCATGTTGTTGACGATGAATTCTTACATGCTCCCATTACTGCACCTGATACCCGGTAGGTGCCGAAGAACAGACATAACTCTGCCCCTGGTCCTCATGGCATCACTTACTGCCAAGTCCGTCATGCCCCTATGCAATTCCTTCGACTTCTTGCATTGTTCTACAACTTTCTTCTTTCCTCAGGATTTTTTCCTGGTTCATGGAAGTTATCCACTATTCTACTTTTTCTGGAACCGGGTAAACCTGCCTCTGATGTTAATTCTCATCATCCACTGGTACCTTCTGGGGTCTGAACCCTCCACTTTTGCTATACACATACAATACATTTATCAGACTGTGCTTAACCTATAGACATACAGCCTAGATATCTGCTTCCACTGTACACACTCCTAGAAGCATTTTGGCACCAGCTGATCACGTACTGAATCTCTATGTTATGTCTCTTCCAGCTGACAATCCCGACCACGTCGAGATACCAATGTCCCCTCTTCCCCATTTATCTATCCTGATTCCTAATACTCGCAATACCCGTTGATAGTTCCCACACTGTCACCATTATGTGATATAGACTGATCAGTGTTCACCCATATTTCTCCGGATTGTCTCCTCCATCTGCATATATCGCGTTTACCCCATTTTACGCCTCTTGTGCTGACTTCCACGCTTACCTTTCTATTATTCATTTTCACCATTTTCTTTTTTCGTCACTTGGCTGACGAGAGGGCGTAGCCCACTACCAGCCCACCGTTCCCCCGGGATCGGAATGAAATAACACATATGCTGTTGTGATATTTCATTGGTGGTAGTGTCCAGGGTGACTGATGAGGAGTGGAATTTTCTGAAACTAGTCTGGCTCACAAACACACACTCCAATGAAAGAATAGACCATTCCAAGCTTTTACTTGTTGTTAAACAAATGTTTAAACAACTCTATTTATTCAAAAATACTTCGTTTTCTGACTGTACCCTTACACACAAAAAAGAAAGAAAAAAGAATAGCTGCATGAAGTGACTGTTCATAAGATCTTGTTCACTCTCTGTACCTAAGGAATTATTGAAAGTGCCTAGTTCTTTCCCAAATGAGTACTAGGGGAACTATATTATCTGAAAGTAAAAATATTGTGCTATTAAACAAAAACATCACTTTCTGACTGAAGTTACGTATTACTGAAAAATAATAGGTAAATATCCATAGTTTACTAAGGATAGAACTATCAGATCATGAGATGATATACCATTATTCCAGAATCTGGGTATATCACTCGACTTAGTAGAAGTAAGTTTTGGTACTACATTAGACAGACTGTTTCAATAAGAAGATATGCTATTGGATTTATACATTATATCAGCAATATCAAAAGTTGAAGCTTGATGTAATAATAGCGGATGATTGCTTTTGGTTATTTGTGTACAGCAAAATATAATTTATCTAATATTCCCTTATACGTGGTTTAGAAAGAGAACCTATTTTTCAAATAAGATAACATTTTTGATTTTATCTCTCTCTCTTTTTTTTTAATTGTTATTGTCGTTTAGACTTTGCATACAGTATCAAAGAAGAGCAGATTTATTTAACTAGTTTATATGTCAACAGGTGATACAAAAGTTGAAGTGGATCTCCCATCAGTGCCAGACCTCAGTGATATTCGATCTCGCTTTGAATCTCCACAGGAAGAAATACATTATGCTTCTACTGCAGACAAATACTCTCTTCAGAGATCAGAAAGTATTATGCAACGTTTAGCAAAGTAAGTCCACTACACCAGTCTTTCATTACTGTAATCAGGCTGACTTTTCGACTTTTTAATTATTCACTCTTATGCTATTCGAATGGGACTTAGAAACCTGTATTTTGAACTGCCTATATAAATAATTGATTGTTAAGCGTATCTGAGAGGTCAGAAAGTAGGTGCAAGGAAGATATTATCCTCATGTAGGACCAGCATACAGTGATGTAGATGTCAATGCGGAGATGCACTGCAACCTACATAAACCATGAACATCTTTCCCTATTCACCAGAGATGTGTATGAATTATCAATTTATATAAATTAGTTTGGAAGCTGTAACACATGGCAGTTTGTTGTAGAAATAAATAAATGGAAGGAGCTTAATATAGGTGTGATATATATGTATATGTAATTGTAGGAAGTTGTAGGTAATAGATCATTGTTAAGATAAATAGATGAATCAAATGTTATAATTGTTTTGCTATTTTTGTATGTACATTAAATATGGCAGTGGAATTCTATAAAATGGTGTAGATTGACAAATATATAGATATACATGTGTACAAAAACAAACACACAAACCACTATTATACCACAATGTTGGGATAGCACACCACCACTAGTTATTTATGGGCCTGTTCCCATTTAACTTGCAATTTGAACCCCAAAATATACTACAGTATAGGGTTTATAAAGGTTTGTTGCTTGCCATAGCCATCTAGCTATTGAAGATGTGATGTGGAAAGGAACGTACAAACCTTCATAGGACCTAGGATGGTTGATAAAAGAGTGTCTAAGACATTATAGCCTCTCATCTCATGCTGGAATTAACTGTGAGTAATTTGCTGAAGAAACTGAAAACAACTACTTATTCTAATATAGAATATTAGTCTGGCAACCCTAAGTTAAACACTTCGTGGTTCACAAGAACTTTGAATTATGTTGTATAGTTGAAACATATTTGGCATTAACTGCAGTAGATGAGAGACTATTTGCAGAAGAAAATTAGTACTACTCAGGAACGTCGAGAGCCAGCACAGACCCCGGGGCAAAGTACTACTCAGGAACGTCGAGAGCCAGCACAGGCCCAGGGCAAAGTACTACTCAGGAACGTCGAGAGCCAGCACAGGCCCAGGGCAAAGTACTACTCAGGAACGTCGAGAGCCAGCACAGGCCCCGAGGCAAAGTACTACTCAGGAACGTCGAAAGCCAGCACAGGCCCCGGGGCAAAGTACTACTCAGGAACGTCGAGAGCCAGCACAGGCCCCGGGGCAAACATCCTCGCCGGGCCCCCTTTCTCTCTTTCTCTTTTTAACATTTTCAAGAATTTATTAAAAAGAAGATCCTAAATTAGGACAGCTACGAGCTCATAAACCAGACAAAATCATAGCAGCAGCCGTTTTTACCTCACAGTATAAGCTTAAAAACATTAGTAAAGTAACAACAAATATCTATTAAATCTATAAAGTAACAAATATATATTAATTATTATTCAAATTATTATTTCAGTCGTTCTTAATGTATTAAGTGTTTATATGCAAAGAAAAGCCAAAAACTATGGTTTTTATCATTAAATGAAGATATAGCCTAAAGTTGCTTTATGGGCTTTACGGCATAACCAGGTTTCATTCGCCCAGGCCCCTGGGCAGTTGCCCCCTATCGGCGGGCCTGGTACTACTGGATGTTCAAACTGGTGAATGCAAGGTTTTAGCTCTTACCATGTCACAATCTGCTAGAAGAGCAATGGAAAGTTATCTTGTGGAGCTACGAATACCCATAGTTAATGTTTTTTTTCGAATGCATGAATATGTTTTTGATGGCAGCTTGGAGAACATCATGAAAAGGATTGTAAAACACAGTATCACAACAACACATGCCGTATTCACTTAAAGAGCCTTTTATGGCTGTTCACTCATATGGAACTATGCATTCCTGTGTGCATCCTTATTATATTTTCACAAAACAATGATGAAGTAACTAATTTAATACTCTACTTTAGTCAAGTGGTAGCTAATGCCTGTGGCATATTTTCAGTAAGTATGGCCACACTTACTATACAATCCAAAGATATTAGATATCTAATATCCAGCAAAAACTGATATTTGTCCCATTCTTAATAAAATCTATTGAAAAACAATAAAACTATAGATCACAAAATATCCAGGCCTATAAATTATTCATTGGAAGAGTGAAATTAATAGTTATTTTAACAATGAAACTGTTAATTTCACTCTTGTATAACTAATATTGAAAATATCTGTATTAAGGTATATACAGGTGATTTTTTTAAAAATTTTTGTGTAGGAGTTCTGCCTATACAATCCATTATTACTGTTTTTGTCCTGCTCCTTTCCAACCCTTACTGGTTCCTACTTCTAGGGGTTCCTCCTCTTGTTGTATTATTTTATGCAGATGGACACGTTGCCAACAGTACCAGTGACTACTTGGTGGGTTCCTGTCCAGTGAGGAGCTCGCTTGACCAATTTTGTTCCGCTATATCAGGATTTCGCCAAAGATCTTTGGGTTATTCGGGTATTATCCAAGGGACTTGTCATCCACTTCATTTCCCCTCCTCCATTATCTCTGGTACTTTTTCCTTTCCATTGCCTACTACCAGTCAATGTCTGTCTGAAGTGGTACAAAATCTTCTCTCCCAGAAAGCCATCGAACCTGTAACTTATCTTCCTTCAGTTTTATTCCAGACTGTTTGTGGTACCCAAGAAAACTGGTGACCAGCAGCCTCTGATCGATCTGTCCTGCCTCAGTCAATTTTTGGTTCTTCCCCACATTACCATGGAATCTTTCCTCACACTCAGGGGGGCTTTTTTTTCTCCAGGGCATTGGATGACCAAGGTAGATGTCAAGAGTGCTTATCTGCATATTCCAATATCTCGTCTGTTGAGGTGCTATCTTCAGTTTGTTCATCATGGGTAGTGTATCAATTTTGCATCCTGTCTTTTGGGTTTGCTTTGGCCATATATGTCTTTTGTTGAGTGATCAAGGCTTTTGCTTGACATAAGCATGCTCGGGGATTGCACTTAAACCATTACATGGACGACTGACTTCTGTTAGCTTGTTCCAAATGGGAGTCCGCCCATCACACTCATCTGCTGCTTTTGGAGGAAGCTCGTGTGGGTTAGTTAATCAAGTACAATATCTCATTCCTTATATCTACCCAATAACTTGTCCACTTGGGTGTCTTTTTCAACACTCATCTCAGTCAGACCCAACATTTTTCTCTTCCACTCCATTCGATAGACCTTTCAGTTCTCCATGCCCTTACTGCCCCTCTATTTCTGCTTGAGAAGTTCTATGAAAACCCTTATCCCCTTGGGTTGAGTGCATACGAAGTCTCTTCAGTGAGTTCTGCACAACCAGTGGAACCTTCCTTCCTCTGTGGATGTTTATCAAAATAAGTGGAATGTTTTCCATCATTGATCTTTAGGTTGAGGGTTTTCATTTGCTTGACCCACTGTTCCTCATCTTATGAATTTCCTCACTTGGGCATTTGATCAGGGGTCTACAGCCTCCTTGATTGCAGGTTGTCAGGATGCATTATCCCACACTTTTTGTTTTTCCCAGTGCCATAAAGTTTTTATCTCTCTTACTCTCTCACAATTTATACATTTCCTCTAGATTCGTCGTCCTCCTTGGCATGCAGTCCTTCCATATTGGGATGTCAATGTGGTTCTTCCCTGCTTTACTTTACCTCCATTTGAACCTCTGTCCTTGTGTTTTATTTTTCACTTATCCTTTAAGACATATTTGGTCGAATTTATTTGCCATTGTCGTACATTTCACATACCCTATATCATTCCACATGTGTTCTCCTTTACCTGGATCAATCTTTCAGATTAGGGTTTTGATGTTCACCCATTGCACTGTCTTTGGTGTTCACATTCCTCTGGACTCTCCACCACATTTTCTCACCCCCCCCTTTTCTTCTCGTGGAGTATGAGAGTTCTTACCACTTTCCAGTTCCAAGTTGCTGGAGTTATCCTCCTGAATGTGATTGATATATATACGATGCAAACAATACTGAATCCATTGGTGTAGAAGAAGAGATATCATCCAATCTGACACTCCATCTCTGAATGGGTATGTTGATTTGGAATGAACTGTCAAAATTGCAGTTTGTCCCTTCGGTTGGGATCTCTCATCCTACCTCCATGTATGTTGATTCCAAGTTGCTGGAATTTGGATTCAGAGATGGACCAATCAACATACGCCATCACACATGTATTATAATTGTGTCTGTTCCCTCACTCAATTGGACTCTTGTTCTCTGCTACCATGTTGTGGGTCATGGTGGAGGAACTTGCAAGTTACAACAGTTGTTCCTCTTGCACTATCCCTCAAAGATTTTAACATACTGAGGATGTTACTGCACTGGGAGTGGTTCCTGTCTGATTAGTTTTGTGTGGGCTATTTCACAACACAGGAACATCTTTATTATTTCGATCATTCAAACATCGGGTTCCTGGATCAATACAGCATTTTGTCCTTTTGCTATTATGTTCCCTGTTTGCAGATTGTTGGGTGATATACCCCTCCAGTCTGCTGAACTTGAGGTGAAGACGGTATATCCTCTTTCCAGATGTCTAAGTTTTGGATTGCAGTTGAACTTCCACCAGTATGATCCTTTTTTCTATCCCCATGTGGATGTCAGTTGCCAGTAGCTGGGTTTTGGATTGCAGTTGACTTTCCGACAGTATGATCATCTTTCTTACCCCACTTGGATATCAGTTCCCGGTGGCTTGGCTTGGGATTGTAGTTGACTTACTGACAGTATGATCCTCATCCTACCCCACGTGGATTTTGGTTCCAGGTGGCTGTATTTTGGTTGCAGTTGACTTGCTGTATACTGTTTGTCATGCCCTAGCTACTCTAACATTGGGCACATCCTTTTTCTTCTCACCAACATTACTGTCATCTAAGGGATTGAGATTCAGGGTTGAGGGGTTCAGATCCATATTCAACCATTGTTCTCTCCTTTTTGGATGTGCTCCTCCCATTTTTTGCCCACGTTTGTGTTACCTGTTTCCACACTGGGTGAAAAGTATACCTGGTATAGAAGTGGTGCACTATCCCATGTATGATTCTCTACTGTGAGGATCACTCCTTTCAGGATGTTCTTCATACACTTTTTTTATTCCCTCTCTCCAGTCCCTCCACTCATTCAATGTGGGATTCTAGCTATTCATGTGAGAGGAGGTAAAGTACTGTATTGGAAGTTATAATTTTCCTATACTGAAAATGTATTTCCGATAGGTACTTACCTTTTGTCACACTTCTTCCCCACTGAAAACTTGTGCTTCCTCTTTCTGCCAAAACTCAAAATGATAGTTCGGTAGAATCGAATAGAGTCAGATGTGTCAGGAGAGTGTGTCACACTCCTATTGATGGAGGATTGTCGCATGACGATTTACTTGCAAAACTCAGTTGAACCATTTTGATCATGGGGTACATGAAAGCTCAAGGCTTGTGGCATGCAAAAAAAACAATTTTATGTATAGAGGACAGCACTGAACGAGAATAGCTATTTATGTGAGAGGAAGTAAGTACTTATTGGAAATAAATTTTCAGCATAGGAAAATTATAACGTATGAGTTGGGGTTTTTCTCTCTTATATATGTTATTTGGAATATTCATTGACGTTAGTAATCCAAGGATTGTAGGATACTCTACTAGTGTCCTTGTCTGACTTGAAAGTGTGCAGATTTACATTGCTTCTTTATCCTGTTTTTTCTTCCACGTGTAAGCGATTCATCCTCATGCTCTTGTCCTGTGCAGATAGGTAGGAAAATTTCTCTTTAGTGCCAGCAGCCTGTTTTATTCACTCACTGATAGAAGCTGGCCAGTAAGTGGATTAAGTAAGCAAACACTATTCATATTTGATTTAATCTGTATAAACCTTTTGGAACCTTCTGAATTGCAGATACTAATAACTGTCAGATATCAGTGAGTGCACATAAATACCACACTATAATTTATGTAGCTCTGAATTAATTACTATTAGAGTCTGTATTATGAATTTTTAGGAAGTAAACAATTGGCAATATTTGATTTTGAGATGTGTATTGTGCAGCAGCATGATACATACATGCTAAATCTAGGCTTTTATAATATGTCTGTACAATGTTTTGCTCCCAATTTGACTTGTACCATATGCTCTTATGGGTTTGAAAAATCTGTCATGCAGGGTTTTAAACAAGAGGCTCACCTACATCTCGGGTCGTATACCATAGAAAATATATTTGAAAATATCATGTTTCTTCTAACCAACCAGAATATGATTTAAAGTTGCACATTAACATAATGAAATTGCACAGTTTGTGATGAACTGCACACTGATATAATACTGTTACGTCTCCGTTTGTTAATTAACTTTCCGTAACTTCGTTTCGACGAAACTTTAGCGACACAAGTCCTTACTTAATAAAACTGGTTTATTCTTTCCGAATACAACTTTACGATACACTTATTTTCAACAGTCACTCTATAACAAACGCTATATCAACGAACGTCAACAATACTTTTGACTGCAGTTCAATTACTCACTATCTACACACCCATTCTCCTGTCACGTTGTCACCCTCTTTTATATACCAGACTACCCTATATCTAGTAAACGCTAGAGCATTCGCCAAGGTACGGGATAGTTCTAGAAAGCAGAGGGCGTGAGAATAGTCACGTGATCTCGCTGACGCAACAATACTTTTTTACTGATGTATTTTAAAGTTTGTCACCTTTATTTTCTGGTTCTGTTTGTGGCAGTGGTGTTGAAAAAGCTTAATTTTAAGAAGACAGTGCCTTGACTTGCATGTGACCTTCTCAGATTATATAGAAAGACTTGAGGCTCAGTAGCCACCAGCTTTGATTAGTTTTAGGCATACATGCTAAGTTTACTAATGCATCTGTCATATCTTCACAACTCATATTTTATATACGCTTGAACCACGTATATTTCCTGTTTCATCTTCCTTTGTACATTGTACTATATTTTGCATTATAGTATGTGAAGTGTGTTATTAAACCTATTCAGCAATTTCGAAATATTGATATTTGTTAAGTTATGATGCTTTAAGGATTATGTATGTATTCTTGAGTTTTAACTGAGTTTGTTGGTATTCTTAAAACTTGAAACAACTCAGTATTTCAAGAATCTGATTTTGTCTTTCGAAGTGATTTTTCTAATGATCAAAATTTTATCATTACTATTAGGTATCAGTCTGCTGTTTCTGGTCAAGAAAATGGAGAAGTATCAAGCTCCAGTGAAGATGAGGATGATGATTTTTCTGTTCTTAGAGAAAGCAAAAAAAAAGAAAAGGTTTTTTTTCAATTTTATAATTTGTTGAAAGTGTAGTGTTTATTAGAATAACAGTAAGTACACAAAGTATTTAAAATTTGATTTATTTAAGTCTTAAATGCTTCACAGAATCTATGTTATTTTAATAAAATGCATGTATAATTTTAACAATATGTATTTTATAAAATGATACGTTAAATCATTGAATTGATAAAGCATTTGCAGCATGCATTTTTGAGAGGCAACCCTTTACAAATTAGCTACTTTAGAAATTTTACAAATTTTAACTAAATGGTTTCTTAGAAAGACCACACTTTTTATTTGTAATATTTTATAAAAAAAAAGATGAAACATTATGGCACTTTTAACAGCTACGTATAATTCAGTGGTTGTTTAAGGGGAATTATTACTTTTTTTGTTTTTTACAGTACTAATTACACAAGTTCTAGTATGTTTCTTTTTTTTGATGGTGAAAAATATTGTTACGTTTCTGTTCGTTAGTTAATTTTCCGTAAAGTCGTTCCGACGAAACTTTAGCGACACAATTCCTTTCTTAAATAAAACTGGTTTATTCTTTCCGAATACAACTGTACGATACACTTAATTTCAACAGTCGCTCTGTAACAAACGCTTCAATTCTCAACGAACTTTTCACGTGCTTAACAATATTCTCTCTGACTGCAGTTCAATTACTCATTACCTCTGTTGTCCCGTCACATTGTGACCGTCTTATATATATATACAAGACTAACACATATCTAGTAAATGCTAGGGCATTCATGAAGGAACAGGATATTTCCAGAAACAGGTGGCGTGATACAAGTCACGTGACCTCACTGACGCAACAATATACAGAAAATCAGTAAGCTAAAGAAGTAGAAAATGTAAATGCAATATTTTAAATTTTGGAAAAGAGAAACGTTATTTTCTATCTTTAAGAAAAGTTTGGTAAAACCACGTAAACAAAGATGAAACCAGAAAAGTTAGTGTGACTAATATTGTTGTTTTACCACATGTTACTCAAGTTGTTGATAATATTATTAAGCTGGTGATTATGTTAGGTATGTTATCTCTTGAAGTTAGATATACACTAATTAAATGTAGTAAAATGTACTTCTGTTTGCTGAATTTTTTCCTCTTATCCAGGTAAAATTTGATGAGATGTCTACTCTGAAGTCCCAATGGGAGAGTGGTAAGGTTGGCAGGAATGAAGGAAGAGGTGAAGATAAAAAAGAGGAACTTTCCAAGCTACGACAGAAAATATGCCTTGGGAGATCTGAGTCTATGCGTGCAGTATATGAACGTGCCTGTAAAGAATCCGAAGGTGGTGTGCTATCCAGAACAGAATCTATTAATTTAGGCGGAGAAGTAAAAGCTGTAAGCATCAAAGAGAAATTTGAAAAAGGTGACATGGAAAATGAATTGGAACATGAAAAAATGGAAAAAGTTCGAAGGGAAAAGGAAGAAGACCTCAGTGTTTTCAATGAAACAGGTACCATTGATGTTCTGGTTTATCTTCTTAATCAAAGGTCATGCATGCTATATCCATACAAGAATACTTTATATCACCAAAATAATTTAATTTTTTTTGTTTCTTAATAGTAAATATATTTTTTATTAGATTTTTTTGAAAAAATAAAATAAAACCTAGGTCCATTCTCAACCTACATTTGAAGCATATATTTCAGGCGGTTAACTTGAAGGATATTTGACATGATAAGAACCAAGTGCTCCATGTGTACCTGAGAAGTTTGTTAATTATTTCAAGATGAGGGGCCTCAATATGGTCAAAATACAATACTTTCTTAGTGATACAGAAGGATATGAATTTGACAGATGTTGGCCACTGTAGAAAGATTTTTTTAACTTCAGGAATACATAAAAACTCTTAGAATATTTATTTTCTCCATGGGTAAAACTTATCTTGTATTGGGAGCTCTTTGCAGTTGTAGATTGATTTTTAAAGGTAAAACTTTCTCCTAAGTGTTTGGAACTGAGTGTAGCCACAAAATTAGTGTGCTCAAACTGTGAATCCAAAGGTTCAAAATTCATGACCTATTGCTGCAAAAAATCCCTATTTACTTTGGGACTGTGGGTGTGCTATGATTATGATGATCAAGTCCTACTATTTGGTTAGACAAGAATAGACAAAGAGTTGGTGTTGGATGCTTTTGTATAATTTCCTTCCCACTAGTCTTATCGGTTCAAAATTAGGGAGAGCTATGTGTTCATAGTACTTGTGTAGCTTTCCACAAGATTTTGAAACAAACAAATATACCTCCATGTTAGTCAACACTGTTTTTAGTTTTTCTTAGTCTTTAGGTTTTTTTTTAATGTAAGAATTTTCTCAAGATAAAAAAAAAATCTAATTTGATACTGATTTACCAAAGTAAGATGAATCCATACTTGTACATGTAAATTCAATATGTTCAACCATAATGAGAACTATTACAAGGTTTATAATTACAAAGTAATTACTTGACGTTTTAAAATTTTGTGTTACATTTTTTAACTGTGAAATTGATTTCTCAAAATATATAAAAAAAAAGATTTTTTTGCTGTAATTGTACATGTAACTCTTTATTTGTTGTTTTTTGCTGAATAACCAAATTATGGTCAAATAAACTGTCTTGATTGGATATTTACAACAGAAACGATGTTTTTGTGGATGAAATATACCAATAATTAATTCAATTTCTAAATATGAACTTCAGTAAATACTTTAAATTTATTGGCGAAAAGAAGGAGCTATCCAAACAATTATTTTTGTAGTTTACCGATCTAAACTCATTTCAATACAATAAGGCTTTCACAATAGTTGTTAAGTCTGATTTTGTTGTTGAGTAAAAAGTTCTTCTAACACGTACTTTTCTCTGTGTTACGAGTCTTAAACAACAAGTTATTTTGGCCTTATGTTTAATTTGACTGGGTTTTATATTTATTTTATTCATGCATATACTTAAGGCTTCCTTTGAATATTAAAATAATATCATATACTGACTAGCACTGACGTAAATTTCTATGACAGAAAATAGTTTTGGTTGTGGTATGAAGGTGTTAAAAATACAGACTTTTACTAACTTATAATAAAGTTTTACATTTCTCATAATAAACTGTTTACCAAAATTTTAAGACGTAAACTTACAAACAACATTGGTTGATTAGCAATCGATGTGTTTGAATGAAAACGAAGTACTCTCCAACAGGCAGGATTCATTTAAATTATACATTTTTAATATGTTCGTATTACTGATTTTACCCTTTTTTTTTGTTGTTTTCTTGCTGAAGTTTCTCCCCATGATTACTGTTTTGTGTTTTATTTGTTTAATTATCGTTATATTTAGCAATTGTACTTTGACAATGCCCAAAGACTTATGTAAATTTATTTTATTTTGCTTTAGATATTGAAGATGGAATCTGATAGAATTCCGAAACGTTTATCTATGTCCCCTTTTTGTTAATAAACAATTGTTACGTCTCCGTTCGTTCGTTAATTTTCCGTAAAAATTCTTTCCGAAGAAACTTTACCGACAGAAGTCCTTTCTTAAATAAAACTGGTTAATTCTTTCTGAATATAACTTTGCGATACACTTAATTTAACAGTCGTGCTATAACAAACGCTATAATTCTCAATGAACGTCTCACGTACTCGACTCA